TTATGTGAGTCACAAACCTTTCTATACCCTCTTATTGCACGTGTATCATCAGTCTAAACATTAAAACCACATGGTGGGAGTGTGAGCCCATCCTGCCTCTAAAGGGTGATCCCAATACCAATTAAATATTGTCCTCACCACAGACAGAAGTTCACAATAAAATGGAGGATAAGGATCTGTTTGTTTGTTTGTTTTAACATAATGTGCTTTTCGTCTGTGATTTCTTTTAGACCCCGGATGCCCTGTGGACCAACAGCTCTGTAATAGAGTAAAAAGAGCCAGATATTGATATGATTAAGAATATCAACAGCAGGGACAGAGGTTAGGATGAAAACTTGAAGGGCTATCAAGTCCCATTTCTTTAGGGCACAAGTTGATATCCAGCTGGGATCAGAAATTTTCCCTAGTGGTGTAGCACTGCCTAATTAGCTGCATTAGGGAAGACTCAGCCTTTCTCTAAGCACTGGCCTCAGTTGGAGACAGGAAACTCACCTACTTCAGTGGTAAGGCTGTAACACTTAATTAATTAATGGTTGCAGCATATTTATGATCCTGTGATAAAAGGGCTATAGGAGAGAAAGTATTACTATATTCCTCCCTACTGCTACTGGGAAACATGAGTCACTTTCACAAATTAGTGAATCCAAACTGAAATCTTTTTTCCCCCCAAAGATTGATAGATTATGAATACCCTCAGAATTTCTTTCCCCTCTATTAATTCTAATTCATGGGTCAGTTCTATAAAACCTGACTTATTTTCACTCTAGAATTTGATGTTTATAGACTAAAGCTTCAAGGTATAATTACATGTTCATAATATCGCAAACACAATTATTTGCTCTAATAATGGACATGGAGAGAAAAATGGAGAATTTCTTATAATCCAGTAATGGAAAATTTTCATCATATAAATTAGGGATCAAAGTAATGATATATCTGAATGAACGAGGAGACAGGCTTAACTGCAATTTAACTCAGAATACCTTTCTCATTGTGTTCCATGTGTGAAGTGTAGTAGATAGGAACAAACAGTTCAACTGAATTATCAAAGAAACAAAGCAAGCCAAGACTGATCTATAATACAAGCCCTGAATTAATAACAAAGGCAAGAAGAGGAGTCATTAGAAAATGCTGAAAGGTGAAATTGGGCACACGGAAGTGGTAGTAGGATGGCAATAAGAAATCTAAGTAGGGCCTCCCTCGTGGCGCAGCGGGTCCCACATGGCGCGCAGACCTCTCCTGCCGCCCGCTGCTCCCCTCAGCAGTGTACTTTGGTCCTTCTGCCTGCTCTGCTCCCTGCTCTGGCTCTGGTGAATTCTCTCACCCTCCCATGCTTCTGACTGTATCCAGTGCTTGTATAAATAAATAAATCAAAAAAAAAAAAAAGAAATCTAAGTAGGGTGATGAAGTACTTTGAAAAGATGAATCTCTTATATGATTTATCTCATTATTTCAATGGTTTAAATAGAGAAAAACTGTATTAAAGTTTTTTCCTTCTTTCAAGTTTTTCCTAACATGTCTTATCTCTGCTATATTATATAGACCCATCCCCAAATCCCAGCCTCTATCTATGCACCAAAAATGCAGAAAAAGAATCTTGTTTTCTATTCACTTCATCTTCCTTCTCACAGGAATATAGCGTGGGCGATATATTTACACTGAGAGACTTCACTGGGTTTTAACACTAGAAAGGGACTTGGCAGGCAGAGGGACCTGAATGTGTTGATCTACAGCGCAAAGCACAATGGATAAAGACTCAGCAGAAGTCTTTAGAGAAAATGATAGGTGCAGAAAGAAAACCATTTTCTAAAGTACCAAAAGCCATTACCACTTGCCCTTTGACCTTCTCAATTTTTGTAAGTAGTAGTAGGAAGGAAAGGCCTGAGCAAGAGCTTTGCAGAAAGAAGACTTAAGTCAGATAAGGAATTCAGCTAGAGGATAGCCAACTATCAAAATGCTTTCTGGGTGTCAGGGAATAGGACATTCCTTCATAAACACTCACTTGGCAATCCAGGGAGCAGTTAAGAGTTTAAACAAAACAATGCTGAAACTTTTTAAAAGAGAGTGGTTTCTTGCTTCCTTTTGCATCTTTAAGCTTCTCTTTTCATCAAAAAATGAGAAAGATGGTGTAATAATCTGACCTGCCCAATCAAATCCTTCCTTTCAGTGTACAGGAAATTTCCAAACATAGGGGCTCTTTTACTAAGCCAGTATTGATTCCTGAAAGTCTTGTCTGTTTCTTTCTCCATAGATAGGATTTAGAATCCTCTCCTATTTATGTTTGCACTTGTCTTAGTCTCTGTGTTTGTCTACATATTGTTCATTATGAAAAAAGTATAAAACATTTGTATATGTAACATATTATGTATTTATGAGAATATCATGGATATGCATACACATATGTCTCTTTGGCCCAGTTAAAATTCAGGAAATGGTTCCCACATCTTGAACAAAGTATGTATGTTGGAGGTCATTTTTGAAGTTTAGCATGAGCAGACTTTGTATAGTGAGAATTTTCTATGTTTGGGAAAAAGAGCAAGAAAATATAGTGAAATAACCAACCAACCTACCATCCCATGGGTGAGCACATAAAATTCTCCCAGACTAATTGGGTTAACCTGACCCTTATAGTCACTATTTGAAAATATTTGGGGCAGCACCAGCTAATGTCTTATCAATATTCAGTTTTAGTCCCCAAACATTTAAGGGAAAAACAACAACAACAAATAGTCCAAGAGCATAAGGCAAGAAGATTAAAAAGTAATATAGGCTAGAACCTAAATTTAATTCACTTTCTTATCTATTGTTCAGACCTATTAAACACTCTTAAACTGGGTAAATGTCACCAGCATCTGAAGACTCAGTAACACTATATGTCATGTAAATTTTGAAAGGGGGAAGGGGCCGTAGCATTGTGAAATAATCACCAATGATGGGAAGAAGTGAGAACAGGAATATGAAACATTTGGAAAAAGATAAACAATGGACAAAGGAACCCTGATCTTAATAAAAGAAAAAAAAAACTTGGGGAATAAGACACTAGTCACTGGATGGTGACTATTGAGAAAATACCCCCTATGACTGTTTGCTTACTAAGCCCAGGTCTGCTGATAAGGAGGGTTAAGTCATAAATAACTCTCCTTAGGACCCTAATAGATCTTTAGCCACTAATCTCCAAATCAAATACTTCTGAAGGAAAGCCATGGTCCTTACCTGTAGGAATATTAAAATCTAGTTAGGGAAAGAAGATATGCACGTGAATAGTTAAGATACCTTCTGAAGATTTCAAATCAGCTCACGCTACAATCTATGCATGAATTTCATTAACTTGGCAGCTCCACTCCTTTCCAACCTTACTCAGCCATCTCTCCCACATATGAAAGTAACCAGAGAGTTGCTCAAATGTGTTCATGAAATATCCATTCATGTTTTCTGTGATAGGTTTCTCATTGATGCCCAAAAGACTCTTGAAAAATAGTCTCACCTCTGCAGTGCCTGTGCCCTCTATAATTTACTCCACTTCGGATGTCATCATCATTCCTTATTGGTTTGCACAGTAGTTCGCAGAACAATTGGAGAGAAGACACACTCCCTAATTTGTGTCACTCATTCTCACATCCGCTCCAGAGACAGGACTATTTGCATCCTAGGTTTTATAACATCATTCTGGAAACTCTCTCCCTAAACTTCTGGTTATAACTGCTATAAAGTTGAGGTGGTTTCTGGGACCACATGAAAACAGATTCAGTGACACTCTCTTTAAGATTCTTTGGTTTTTTGTAAGTCCCAGGTGCCATGGATTTGGCTGAGATCTCTGCCACAATCACATTATTGTTGAATTTCTCCTTCTGCCCCATCCAGCTCCCATTGCTTCTGACAGGTTCCTTCCAGCATTTTCCCTCAAATTGAAATACCTGCATGTACATCTCTGTCTCTTTTGCAAGATTTTTTTTAGGGGTCAATGAATTTATCAGGCTGGCTAGCGTGGAAGTTCAGTTGAGGGTGGCTTGGGGGTACTTAAATTTGAAAAGAAGGTTTGTGGGGAGGCCCTTGAATGCCCAGCTATACCGTCAGGACTGTAACTAATAGACCAAGAGCAAGAGCAGCAAATAGTGGCACATGAGCTCATAGCAGCTACTCCACCCTCCACCTGGAATGAACATCTTTAATCAATAACAGTTTTCATCCCCAGCCTGACAGTAGAATCCTTCTCTCATCTGAGAATCAGGCCGATTCATGTGTTCTATAGCTTATACTCACACCAGTCATACATTTTCAGGAGAATTTAAAAGCAGTCTAGTTTCTAACAAGGAATTCTTGTAACTTGAGACTAGGCAGGTTCGTTATCAAGCGTATTTATCCACTGGTCATTTGATATATTAATTTTAATGCTACACTGGACTGGAAATTATAGGCACTGAGAACTAAAGAATGCATCCAAATACTGAATAAATGCCCTCCTTAGCTACAGAACTTCTATTTTGAAAATTATCTTTTCTAAAATGATTTGAAATAAGCACATTTTTTATTTTAGGCAAACATTTTTTGTAACCTCTTTAGACAAGAAAATACACATACAAAATGAAAAATTAATAGAATTTTTAATTCTAAATGTACCAAAGGTCGGTATGTAGTTAGACTCAAAATAGCACATGTTCAGTTTTGATACTACTCCGATGTCACTGTCACATTCAATTTTGGCATGTCTTCAGCATGGTCAATCTATGTCAACTCACAGCACCATGTGCTGCTTAAGTAGGGTGACTGTGTCTCATATGTCCAGGAGAACTTCAGAGTGTAGATCTCTTACACTTCATAATTGTTAATAGTCCCCCCTTTTTCTCTCAAAAGAGATAGTGGGTTTATCCTCAAGTAAATTCGTATTAATGTTTCTATTAGAAATTGGATTTCCACCAAGGAAACGAAGCAAAAATATATACCACTGCACTCAAATTTTCATGACCTAAAAGTATTATGTGCTTGATGAATTTTTATCTTACTGTGTCATGGCGCTGTAGCTGGAGGAGAAAGTGGTGAAAGAGTCAGCAGCTTCAGTTCACTCAGGACATCTGTCATGATTTCTCTGCTGCTTTGAATTACATGTGGCCTGAGATGCAGAAGGAATCCTGAGTAGACCATTAAGAAAAATCACTATTTTAAAAAAGGATGGAAAGGACACTCTTCCTTATCAAAGAAGGTCCCAGAGTATGGGGGTGGTGTGACCACGCATTAAGATGCTTCTACCAATCCCCATCAGGCCCATTGCCAATAATTATATACCCAATGAAGCTTGAAGAAATTTTAATATTTAAGTCAAAATTTCACATTAAACTTTACTTTTAATGGCATATTGTTAGGGGCCCTATGGTTTCCTATAATATAAAGCACTTCAGTTTTTCAAATGTAGGTACTATATACACCCTGTTTATTTTAATCAGAACACAGAAACTAATGGCGAGACTATACCTTGATACCACTAAGCTTGATACCACTAAGCTAAAAGCCTTCCATTCTACTTCTTCTGTACACACCATTTTGATAAACAGGATGATCCAGTTTCAGATCTTAACAAAAGATAAATAATGGCGAAGGGAGTATTATTACTGGAAGATTTAATTATGGTAACAGAATTGTGAAGCTGTCCGCAGCCTCTGCAGTGAGGGTTTAATCCCAGCCGGCCAGCGAGATACCCACATGGCACAGCAGATCTCTCCTGGCTCGCCCACTGCTCTCCTCAGCAGTGTATTTCAGTTAGTCTGCCTGTTCTGTTCCCTGCTCTATCTCTGGTGAATCCTCTCACCCTCCCGCACTTCTGGCCTGTACCCCAGTTCTTGCATAAATAAATAATTTTTTTAAAAAGTGCAAAATACTTAGTGGGCCTTGCAGTGACAGAATCAAACAGTGAGCACTATGGATGATACTGATGGAGACTCAAAGAAAAGACTCGATTATATCTACTCTGCTCAAGAAGGCAGGGATCTTAAGATATTTTAGAAAAATCTAAACAATCTTTTTTAAGGTAAAGAAAAGCACAATTTGGTACTCAACAATACTTACTATCTGGAAAAATCACTCAAACAGAAAGAAAAATAACCAGGAATTGTTAATAGCAATGGCAATATTGTCAAGAAATACTAAAATCAAATGTTTGCATGAAAATACAAACATGCACTGTCCATATTTCTGCATTTATTCAATAGTATAGATAATGAAGTTAACAAGATATACACATGTACACCCTCCTCCCCCAACACAGCAGCACCAATACAAGAGAAAAATCTATGCTTGTTCTAAGTTTGGTTTAAGGAGAGTGTCTCAATGTTTGTCACTTGAGACTGCCACGTGCTCTCTTTTAAAAGCAACTGTAGGGAATCTTGCACTGAAGTTGATAATTCCACATTCTTTTTTAAAAAAATCCCTTTTTATCCAAAATATTCTTAAGTGATTGGATCATCTTTTTCTGGATTTTTAAAACCTGCCTGTGATTAAGTCAGAGGCTCCATTCCATTTTACTTTTTAATAGAAAGCAAACATTTATTTACCAAAATTTTCTGCCTGAATGTGCTGGGACTCTGCAGAAACCAAGTCTGCTTAGCTGGCATCTAAGAGAAATGGAGATAATATGTTGTTTTTTAATCTGTAGTTAAAGGTCAGTACGTTTTTAAAAATAATATTTTATGGAAATATAAAACAATAATGGCATTTATATAATTATACATGTTAAGGAGGAAATGGGGATAATTATAAAAGAAAAGAACTAAAAGAGTCATTTTTTTCCCTTAAATGTGCAAAATATCACAGGGAAGCTTGGAGCTCTTGCACAATTTTCTTCATGCACATGTTTATTTATTTGGCTGCTAGCTTTATTTCTCTTTCTCCTTTTCTTTTCTCATTCCTTATCCCAGTTCCTCCTCATTTGTCATTCTTTTTTAGCTTTGCCAGCAGGGTAATAGGACAAAGACTTGCTTTTAGTCTTGGAAAATACTAGGGACAAAAAAAAAAAAGAAAGAAAGGATGGGGGCAAACTTTCCACGTTAGGCAATTCTTCCACCTAGCAGGTATTTTAAGACTTCACAGAAATTGAGTACTTCTTTCTTTTTTTTTTTGCCCTAGTCCAAACCTACTAAAACATTTACTATCCCTGCTGCCTAATACATTTATTCATGGCCTATATATATTCTCCTCTATAACCTCTTTCTTCATGTCTTCATTTTAATAATATTGCTTATGTGAAAATTGCTAGATAAATTATTCACTTTTTTCTATTATCCAGTATATCTGCAATAAAACTGATAACCTGTCTCTGTAAATATATTTATAATACTTTAAGTTGGTCTCTGTTTATTTGTCTGTTTGCCTGTCTTTCCTCAGCTAGCTCTTTACATTCCCTTCTCAAGCCCTTGGCTAGGATGGAATTGAAGTACTTTGTTTCTGTTTGTTATCTAATGAAGACAAGATGCTAAGTAGATGCAAATGCTAATTCTGTAGTTACTTTTCATTTCACATGAAATTTCATTAGTGTTAAGTATGGAAAATTAATTACTGCTTAATCATAAGTCCACAGAACTTAATCACCAACTACAAATAACTATGTTAAAGGGTAATACTTTGGATTAACCATAAATCAACAAAACAGGCAAATTCTGCATCAGGCCAAAATCCAGGTGGATATTCATGACCTCTAGTTGGTAATAAAGAAATAGGTACAATCTCTTTTACCTAGAACAATATATTTCAAGTATTTATTCATTCAACATTTTTTTTTTTACTTTCTTTGGGCCAGATTCAGGGGATGAATGAGTAATAAAATGGTATTTGCCCTCAAAGAGTTTACAGTTCACTAAAGAAGCTGCATAAGTAAAAAGAGAGGGAGATTAACTTTTCGGTGAGTGATCATCATAGAGGGTTTGAAAGGGTAATGAAAGGAGCAGCTAACCAAACCTTTGGGTGGTGCTAAGTAGACTCATTAAAATCAAGATTTATTCTCTTTCCTTATTTAACTTTCCCCCATTCTCTTCAGTAGGGCTTGCATTTTTTTTTTGCATTTATTTATTTATGCATACAAGAACTGCGGTACAGGCCAGAGGTGCAGGGGGGTGAGAGGATTCACCAGAAACAGTGGGAACAGAACAGGTAGACTGACTGAAATACACTGAGGGGAGCAGTGGGTGAGTCAGGAGAGGTCTGCTGTGCCATATGGGTAGCTCGCTGGCTGGGGATAGAACTCGTGCTGCAGTGGTTGCAGATAGCTTCATAGTGCTGTGTCTTAACCCCTTGTGCCACCAGGGAGTCCCATGGGACCTGCATTTTTTGAACAGTCAATGTGGTGATATGTTGGAACTTTTACACTGACTGGGTGTTGGCAAGCACCCATGTTAGCATCTCTTACTAAACGTGTACTCAGTGATGTCACATTACTAAGTTGCTTCAAATTGGGGGGTGGTAATATTTATACCATGGGAATTGGCAAATGCTACAAAGCAGGGCTTTAAGAAGTTCCTCCAGCAAGCAGGCTCTTAAACACTTCACAGTACACCACCAGGTCAGGGAATGTAGTATTACTTGATTCTATTGGAAAATTTAATGGACAATAATGCGACAGGCTAGTTTTATCATTATGCAAAGGATAGTCCATGAATAAAAAAAAATGTATTAGAACTATAAATAAGACACTGTCTCTGCTCTCTTAGAATAAGCAATAGGGAGGATAAGACAAGTCATAAATCACTGTCTCAAAACAGAATCAATTTATAAAGTTCAAGAGACAATAGAAGACTAGATGGGCTACTCTAAAAAGACATTTCAATGCTTGGTCTATGGATTATTGGACTATTAGGGATCCATAATTAGTATCATGTGAAATCTGTAGGCAATCAGGCAAGAGTTGTGATTTTAGGGGGATGAAGTTTCTTCGAGAGTGTTTATAAACCTGTCATCCTTTTGTGGGCATTCTATGAATGTCAGCAATGGAAAGAGATAGTGTAACATCATATGAATGTTGACATGGACCTCTGAATGCCTTGCTTTAAATATTCCACTACTATGCAAAACTAGGAAACTTACACAGCATTTCTGTATTTCAGATTAAAATTTTAAAAATTCAAATAGTAATAGTACTTAACTCACAGTTTTTGAAGATTACACTAATGAAAGGTTTGAAAGCACACAGGACCTGCTGTCAGGCACATCACATACCTTCACATATTATCTACTGTCTTATTAACACATATACACAAGGATTGACAGCATCCATAAGGATTGACAGCTTCCACAAAATGTGTTAGGTTGATCTATTCCTATCATTCCAAACACCTTTAAGAACTTCTAGAAGTCATTGCTAATCCTTGAGCTTGACAAATATGAGGATTAATCATAGAATATGGGGCATTTGACCAATTTCTCTACAATTAACCTTGAACAGTTTTATGCTATCTTTGTCTTTTTCTAGTATTAGGAATAGACACAATAGATACAATTTCTCCTGACAGTGGACATTGTTTCCTTCATATTGTTCTATTTATCTAGTCAATAAAAGGGAAAAGTCATAGATCTGAACAACAATGAAGTTAGCTTTATAAGATAATATTTTAAAGAAAAATAAGGTTGAGATTTTTTTGGAAAGACATAAACCTTTCCCTTACTGGTCATGAAATTATTCACTAACTGTCAGTTCCCATGAACTACTTATTTGAAAGCAATAGAGAAAAAGCAACCTTTCAGCACAGAACTCTGACTTTACTTACAGGTCTACTTGTGGTGTTCCGGGAATTCCATTCTAAGGACTTGCTCATGGACACAGATGTGACAGGAGCTGGAATCAGTCATGAGATATAATGCAGGCATTTATGGTGATTAGTTAATCACTTATAAAATTCCTTGAAAATGAAAAGCTACCTAAATCCATGAGACCCAAGAACCATGAATCACCTCTGTAAAGAATCTAAATGTATGCTTATTCATGGAGTGATACTTGGTTAGATGACAGGAAGAAGAGAGAGTGAGCAGAGTTGTTTTATGGGATTTTAAAAAATCCTGGACTGTTGAACTAAGCCCGTATTAGCCCTAGGAATATATGTGAATGCCGTCCTACAGATATTGGTGTGAAAAACAAAAGGTCTGTGTTCTGATCCCAGCACTATCTCTAACTTGCCAAGATGTGTAAATCATTTCATCTTATACACTCCCCTGCCCCCCCTTTTTAGGGCATTGGGTCAGACACATGGTTTTTAAAATGTGCTCCAAGAAGATTTCAGCAGCCAAAAGTTGGGGGGAGGGTGGTCTCAGGGAGGCATTGAGAGGATGGTAACATCAGCATTTAGAATCCAGGCTAACCCCCCTCACTGCTACTTCAATCAATCAAGACAATACCACTTCAATCAATGTTACAGATTAAATATTTACAATCTTTCCATATTTGCTATATGCAAATTTTGCTTGAGAAAAGATCACTGGTTAAAAGTTGAAAGCTATTAAGCCAGTTGCCAATTCAACATTAAAGATTTGACACTCTCCTTTATAGTTTCCCGTCACAAGTTTAAAAGGTGACACTTCATGCAATATTCAAAATTAGCTCATACTACTTAGATTTATAATTTTTTAGACTATACATTGCTATATAAAATTCTGAGGAAATACAAAGAATAGGTGGTCAGTACTCAGTAGGGTTGAGGTCTTTTCGGTACTTTCAGTGTTACAAGTTAACATAGGAAAAATATTATCGCCCATTTAGTTTTAAGGCATCTTTCATTTTATTTCTCTTTTTCCTTCTGAGGTTTCTAATCACAGAATGTTACACTGATAAGCACTTTTCTAACATTTTATAGATGAGTGGCCAGAGTGTTACTCAAAGTTGCTTCAGGAGGCAATGTCTTTCCAGGGTTCTTTCCTCTGGATGACATGATTTTGCCAAAAATTGATATTCAAGTTACCGAAACATGGATATTTTCTTTTTTTAAAAAAAAATTATTTTTATTTATTTATGGATACAAGAATGGGGGTGTATGCCAGAGGTGTGGGGGGTTAGAGGATTCACCAAGGATAGAGTGGGGAGCAGAACAGGCAGATCTACTGAAGTACACTGCTGAGGGGAGCAGCAGGCAAGACAGGAGAGGTCTGCTGCACCATTTGGGTCAGCTTCCTTGTGCTGCAGTGGCTGCTGATGCTTGATAGTGCTGAGACTTAACCCCTTATGCCACCAGGAAGCCAAACATGGAGATTTTTAATTACACTATTTTATTCTCTCTTCTCTTCCCCAACCCCTTCCTTCTTTGCTCTCCTTTCCTCCTTCATGTTTCTTCCTTCCTCCTTCCCCTCCTTCTTTCTTACTTCCATTCACCTAGCAAATGCTTTTTGAATCTATCTGTACAGGGAGCCCAGCACTCTACTAGCATCGGGAATTTGCAGTTACACACAATCATCTAGTGCTGTCTGACATGATATGCAGAGAAGGGGAGGAGACAGACAATAAAATTGCTTATATGAGTATAGTGTCAGGTCCTATGGGAGAAATGGTCAAGGGGCTGCTGAAGTAGGAGGCGAGATTTTTAAATCAAAGAAACACTTGGTGACAGTCATGGAGGACGTGACATTGGAGTGTGTTTTGAAGAATGAGTAGGAATGTGTAGTGTGGGCCTGTGTATATGTGTGTTATGGAGGGAGCATTGCAGGTAGAACTAAAAAGGCACAGATACCTAAGAGAGATTATTCCTTGAGGATCTGTACAAATTTTGGTAAGGCTGGAAGAAGGTTATAAAAAGGTTTTGGGAGATGAGAGCTCTAGGGCGCATGAGTTGGAACTTGACGTTAAAATGCTATGATGAAACAGATAGCTATTGATGAAGGGGATGCTATGGTCAGGTCTGCAATATAGACATTAACTAACAGGATTATGTGCAGAGACTGGCAGGGTCAGTCCCAAGATGGCAGAATCAGAAGTATGTGTTTCCAGAAATCTAAGAGAAAGGGATGGGGTTATAGGTTATGCTTGGGACAATTGACAAAAGGGAATAAGTCAATGATCAATCAATTAACAATTAACCCTGATTTTGCCTGAAGGACTCAAGGGAAACACACTAAAATAGATTATTTTGGTTCTCCCAAGAGCCTAGATGCACCTGACAGTAAAGCTCTAAATCCCATGGCAACTCCACACCTACCATGTACTCACACAGATATCTCTATGACATTAAATTCAGCCCTACAACTCTGTTCAGTTCACTATTTAACAAATGTTTTCAGGAGAGTTAAAAATAGCATTGCATTTGTCTTGTCTTGTCTTTTTTTTTTGGGGGGGAAGGGAAGAGTAATAGGATAATTGTGATTCTCTGACCTTGAATTTCTCCTTTTTGGATGTTGGGTGCATTTTTATCATTCTGAAGTCAATCTGATATTATATTAAATTCAATGATACATGATAATTTGCAAACACTTCCTGAAAAAGGATTAAAAATTCCTCAGGAGACTGATTTACATCTATCAGATCAAACAAAATCATTATTATTTTCATTGTTTAGAACCTAAACAATGCTACACGTGCTACAGTAGGCTGTGGGTAAGTGGACACAGATTAGGGGAAAGGATCTGTACTGTAAATTATAGAAACAGAGAGGGTTTGTTTTTTTAAAAAACTGATGGTGACCAAGTATTGTAACTATAGAAAGAAGTGTATCCAAACATGTTTTAAACTTTTCATTTTATTTATTTTGCTGGGTAAACTCAGTTGGACTAATAACAGTCTTTCTCAAATTGTGATGCCACAGTAGCATCAGCTTTGCCTGGGAATGTGTTAGAACAGCACATTCTGCAAATCCTCTTCAGATACTGAAACAGAAACCCTGTGAGAAGTGGGAGCAGCAATCTGGGTTTTCCTGATTGTGAGAGGGGGTTCTGTTGCACATCCAATTTGAGAACCACTATGACTGAGCTCTTAACGTCATTGCTTAGAGCATGAAAATGGAGAATCAAACATATCTCAAAATTCTGGCTTTGCCACTAAAGAGATGTGATTTGGGCAAAATTTAACTTCTCTGAACTTTGGCTTCTTCATTTGTAAAATGAGGGTAAAAATATTTCCTTCACTGGGTAGTTGTTGAGACTCAATGAGATAATTTATTAACTGATCTATACTTACTCATTGGGCATCTACTTCCTCTAAGACACTCTCGTAGGCCTTGGAGATTTAAAGGATAAGAGCAATAAGGTCCTTACCTGAGCCATTGGGGCAGGCACTACATTATGTATGAGTTGTGGGGACTCAGCTTCAAGTCCGTCTAGAGCACAGAAAGCTTTTAATACATTTATTTGTGATGAGTATTAGCTAATCATTTCTTTGAATCAGAAATGGAAACCAATGGCATTTTCAATTTTCTCAATTCAACTTTTGGAAACATGGTAAAGATCAATATAGATCTGGCTGGAGCAGCACTTTAAAAAACACAAAGCATGCTGGCTCCTCAAACAGAAAAAACCTAGTGACTACAATTTATGAAAATGAAACTGCCAAAGATTCTAAAGACAACATTTCACCGTAATGAAAATGGAGATATATATACTCAAGGGCTGATTTGAGCATTCCGAAATATTACCACGTTTAGAGAAGGTTAGAATACCCAAAAGTTTCTGTCTTATTGCCTGCTGAACACATTTAAGAAATGGACTATTCCATTATTAAATGATGCTTGAAAACTCTGTGTTTGATGGAGGGAAGCAATCTTTTGGCTGTCCAGGAAAAGCTGCTACAACTTTCTTAACAGCCTCTCTCATCTGGTGATGGAGGCCCAGTCATTTAAATAAAAAAAGGGCAGAGAAAACGCTGAGAGGCAGTTTGATCTAACTCAACCTTTTCAAATGACTACACTAATTTTAAACATATGAATTTAACTGTATGTTTGCCCCTCTATAAACAGGGCGAACAAACAGTATATCATTTTTACACTTGAACTGTATTATGATTTTAATGCAGGCTCAGGTGAGGTGAGGTCAGAAGATACAATTAAATGGATCTGGTACCAGCTGGAGATTAGGCTCCTTTTAACCATGCTTGGATGATTTATCCATCAACAACTCATGTACTGCTCCATAAAAATTGATATCTGTTTAAAAATAGGTATTAAAATACAGTGTACTTTTAAAATTAGAGACTAAAATATTGTGTAGTTGCCAGCAGGTAGTTTATTTAATATTCATGTGCAATATGAAATAGAAAGATTCCTGTTCTTGGAATAAATATCTATTAGAATAAATTTGCCCCAGTTGCAAATATATATGGAGCTTCTGTGCTTGGTTGAGTCCTTGGAAGCAAATGCAGAAACAAGTTTTTAAATCATTTACAACATCCAGCATGTGGAATGATGATATGTAATTACCTCACTTGTTAAATAGCTTTATCTGTTCCGCAAGGACTTATTTCAATGTTCTTTCTCATGAAAGGCTGTTGAAAAACAAAAACAAGAAAAGAAGGAAATGTAAGCACCAAATAAATGGTTTGTTATAGGGAAATGCACAATTCTGGTGCTCTTATATATTCTATTGCTGACTCTGAACAGCAGACTTAAATCTCGTGGTTGAATTTGGTTCCTAATAGACGTGAATTCAAATATTTGGATTTTCAGCTTCCAAAGACAACTTGGAGCTCTAAGTAAAGGGCAATCATTTGTCTACTAATACGCACATCAAAAACTTAAGCAAATGAGCATTTAAAAGTAATATTTGGTTAACCATTTGCTGAAAGAAAAGTAATTCTGCCTGTCTAATCCAGTAATTTATATAGTTTAGTGATCTGCTTGTCAATAATGAACAAATTGCCCTAATATATTACTGTAATGCTTCACTTTCATTAAGACATCTGCCAACTTTTCAAAAAACCTTTTTCATTTGGGACTTGACTTATAATTGTAGAGTCCCTTGGGGGAATTTCAATATTATTCTAATCAATTTTATCCACAATACACAATGTGGATGATTACATTGCAATGTAATTTCCAAAGTTACCTTTTCACATTAGTCATTTCCAAAGAGAAGACACTGCCAATGTCTCCAGAACATATTTTAGTAAAGAAACTCATTGCAGCAATGAAGCGAAGAATATTTTTCATCATTTGAATGCATCACAACATGAATATGTATACGTACAGATATGCTTATATAATTTACAACCACACTTCAAAGCTTTATGGTCTATAACATTTATATGTTATTTTTATGCAATCAGATGATAATGGATTTTACAACCACAAGATTCAAAAGTTGAAAAGTCCTCAAGATGATCTTTCTCTGTATGGACTCTGGATAATACCATAATAGTCCTTTTTCTTTTTTATAATAAGAGGAGATGGATCATAGTTCCAGGGAAAGTAGGAAATATAAAAGTGGTCTTAGTCTCACTCTAAATTGAGCAGAGATTCCAAAAAAGTTTAGTGTCTATTTATTTACTTTTTATTTAATTTTGAGACTTCCCCTGATCCAGATGGGGAAGTTATGCTGTTTACTGAAGGATCATTTCAGTACGTCTAATCATCCTTGTCGCTGTCTTCCCCATTGTACTGTAAACTATGAGTAAATGCCTACCCCAAACATGGCAAACAAGTTGTTGGTGAGTATCATGAGTATTAAAGAGAAGACAAATAGTTCTAAAAAACCTTTAAACGTATACAAAGTGAAGGAAATGAGAATTACAAATAATAAAACTTTTAAAAAAGAGCAAGTCAGTGGTAGCATTTGGAAAGTCTAATTTTTTGAAATTCCTGCATGACTTACTAAATCATGTAATTTATTAGAGTACAAAGTTAATCTTTCCCCCATGTTCTTAAGCTTTAGCAGGGAGTAGCAAAAATGAGTCCCAAATCTGGGAGCCTATATTCAAGTTCATTCCTATGTTTAATACATTTATAAATTGTTTCAACCATTTTCATTTCATTTAAATACTTTCATTTAAAACTAAAAAATAACTTTTAATCTTAGTATTAGGTTTAATGAATTAAAATAAACAACATTGGTTCCTTCCCAACCAAAATAAATATTAATTCATCATTAAAGCTGATAGAATTGCTATTAAGACACTTATTAAAGCTTACCAATCACAAGTAATTTCTAAAAAAAATATGAAGAAAAATTTAAAACATAATACCTGGGGAAATAAGAGAAAGCTTGCAAAACTAAAAAAGACATATAATGCTTATCGGGAAGACAATTCAATATGTTGAAGATTTTAGTTCTGTTTAAATTAATTTAATCCTCATCAAAATGGCCCTGACCAAAATATTACCAAATCTTCTTTTTATAAAATTGAAAAATGAGCTTACCTGAAAAAAATTAATTTAGGGCCTCTGGAGTAAAGGGAGCAAGTATTCCACGCTGGGAAAATGGATAAACCAAGTTTTATGAAGGAGGATTAGAGAAGAGCCCAGGTAGTGGAGAACTTTAGATTCTAAACTGATTCTGGGGGATTTTTTTTTTTCTAAAGGGAAATAATTTAAGGATTTTTGAGCCAAGAAATTACACTTAGAAAAAGCTACTTAAGATCAGCCTAGATGTAGTGTAATGATGGATTGGAAAGGAAAGAGACTGTTGGCAGGAAGAATAGTTAGAAGGCTACTGATATAATCTATGCATGAAATGGTAAAAGCCCAGAATAAAATCACATAATTTATAAATAGAAGGACCTGCAGATCACCTAGTGCAGTGACTTTTAAGGATTTTTTAACCATGTGCCATAGTTAGGAAATGCATTTTAGTAACCATGTTATCCACTAAAATTAATTTGAATTTTTTAGCAAGTTATTTTTTTTTCTATGTATTTCATAAGTAGATAGTTATATCTTACATTGTCTTTTTAAAAAACATACTGGGTAAGTAGCTAAAATGATCAAAAATGAACAAAATATCCTTCTGATTTTAAATGTCATTATGTTTGTTGTCTGAACATTTTTGGTTGTTGCCCTTTGGTTTACTTGTATTTACTGCATGTGGATTCCTCACACTTATAAACTCAATGTCTTTCTCAAATAAAAAAAAAACCAGAAAATATGAATAAAGTACCATATCCTATCATTATAACTACTTCAACACTCTCCTTGAAACAAATGAGTTGTGAATAAAAAGCAGAAAATTACTTTAAAAATGCATTTTACTAGATATATATAAACTACAAAAAAATTAACAGAACAATATTTATCTGAATATTGATGATGGCATTTGCCAGTATTTAAATTGAGAAAATGATGATGGTATGTGGTATTTTTTATAAGATTTCTCACAGGTTGTGACTTGCTGTTTGTAAAACATGGGTCTGCATTATAATTTCACTTTTGGAAGAGAAACTAAGGTCCAAAGAAACCAAGAGACTTGCTGATGGCATCGCTGTGGTGTGGAGAGGCCAGTTCTCTGAATTTCCATTACACTGTGTGAGGACAGTTAGGGTGGTAACATGGAGAAATCAGAAAGCGATTTTAGAGGAGGAGTGAACAGAACAAAGTAGCTGAGAAACCAAAGTCTGCTGAGGTTTTCTTAATCAGGTAAATAGATTTGCCATAGAATTCCAGGTGTCTGGTAAAGGAATTGTCTTGGGAGAAAAAGATGAATTCACATTGGGGCTAAGAGGGCAGAAGCACAGTCATAATGCCCAGTAGGCAGGAGAACTATAGAGTAAGATTTCAGATGAAAAAAACCTGGTAGGTCATCTATTGGGGAAGGACTAGATGACTTTTAACAAAATAAAATGTATATTTAATACCTCTCCTATCCATGACCCCGTTAGAGGTGCTAGGGATTCAAAGATGAATAATAAAAGGGCTCTCTCCATCAGAATCTCTGATTCAAAAGTTTGGTGGTAGTATTACACTTCTTGGAACTAAACCATTCTTACTGCAAAAAATTCAATAAAATATGTTTCAAAACCTTTAAAAGTTTCAATCTTCCATAGTTTGATCCAATAAATTTGAACTGGCTATTACATCAATTTGTATTGTTTTCTTCCCAGCAATAATACATTTATGTGCATGTGTGTGTGAAGTCTTTTCTTTTGACATCTACTAATATTCCTTAACGTGGCAAGTTGCCTCTTACCAGATTACCTCTGAAAAGAAACAGCTTCTGACAGGGAAATGAGCAGCTGGGTGGCAGCCCACAGCAACTCTGTTATTTTGCACTGATATGGCATTTTAATATAAATGGCTGAAATGCAACCTGAAAATAGTTCTTCATCGCAAACAAACTCCACAAAGCTGGTTAGCATTTAAGCTGTTATATTTGTGGGCTGACTCCTTTCTAGGTGCTTCTAATCCTTTAATGAGCGTGATGGCGACCTTCACACTGCCCATTTGAGGGAGGGACAAGGGGTGTGGGAACTATGGCTCATGCATTGCAGCACTGAGAAAAACTGCAGAAAAACTGGGAGAGTCCAGGATCCCTAAGACTAAATCCATTTGTTTTTCATTTTACCCAAAGAACATAGAGATTTATCCTTAGAGAAAATGAATTAAAGAAGTTGGCCATCATGATGTGAGAATTTAAATCATTAGCAGGGTTGACATACAAGTTCTATTCTGGATTTTATCCAGGTTCGAAGATTCTTGTTACTTTAAATTCCTCAAGTTTGTATGGTGTTTGAACCTATAGATAGTGCTTCTTAAAATATTAACTTTCCTGTCCACTGGAGAAATTTTCTAGCCATTTTATTTGCTCTAGTAAAGAGATCTTTCACCCATGTCTTTTCTCACACTACTCCTGAGGTAATACTTTCTAACTGACCATCGTGGTAGTCAGCACATTTCCAGTTCCTTCAGCTACCAGTTAAAGTACATATCTTTCCCTTGAACCCAAAATGCCTAACAAAAACAGACATCCAAAGTGATTGGATGTCATGAGACAAGGGTTATGCCACCAGAAAGAAGTAGGCCAAAAGTGTGAGATTCGCAGAGAATGGAGATTCAGTAAAGCAGGGTGTTTTGGAAAAAAATGCTATTTTGATAAGATTTGCTACATACAGTTATTGTATGTGTGTGTAGGTAATGAACAACAAATATTTTAATCTTTCATCCCACATCTAGGAATTACTTCATCTTCGATGAGGTGAGACTCAGTGAAAGATGAGATTAGAGATGGTATAGAGTTCTAATGAAGTTCAAAGAAATGGTGAAGAGATGTGATATCAACAATACTTAATATACTGTTAAATGTAAGTTTTACAATTGAGTCCTCCGTGCAACATCAAATTAAACTAACTGTGACAAAATTGCTTTTGTGACCTAACAGTTTAGTGGACACTCCTCTCCCCAGCTCTCTAGGGGACATTTCACAATATCTGGAGACATTTTAGAATGTTATAGCTAGGATAGAGGCTGTTTGCTGGCATTTGTAGTTAGAGACCAGAGATATTAAACCTCATAGATGCACAGGAAAGTTCCTTTCTCCCCTCCTCATCACAACAAAGAA